ATAAAGGCCTATCCACACAAACTTGCATAGGTGCATAACCATATGCATAAAGAAACGTATTTCCTTATGCACATGCATATGGACCACGCAAATCTCTTATGCTTATGTTTATGCGCTATGCAAGTTTGTCTGGATCATAGAGATATAAGAATAGAGTGCGCGAGTCATATGCTAGCACGTAAGAGGCTGCGATATAGGAATAGAAAAAGAACGCTGGATATAGGCCCTTTCTGTCTTTGTCTACGCGTGCATGCGAAACAAAGACAGAAGGGGCCCCATGGGCAGCTTTCTCTTTCTATTCCTATATCGTTTTTTCAGCTCGCTCGCGCACTCTATTCTTATATCTCTATGGTCTGTTTTGGACCAATGAGCACTTATGTAAGTTAATATGGCGACTTTATGCTAGATGCTCATTGGTTTAGCGGTCTTATGCTTATGCATATGCAATATTGGGTGCGTTCAGCCGATACTCCGCTAGCCTAGCAATCGTGAGCAGTCGCTCGTTTTCGCTCGTTTCCTCTCTTTTGACCCAATGGATTAAAAGGAGAGGAAACGAGCGAAAACGAGCGACTGCTCACGATTGCTAGGCTAGCAGAGTATCGGCTGAACGCACCCATTGTGTGCGAGGCCCTTTAAGCCCCTTGCACAATAAGCGATAGCGATAAGATTGCCGTTTGCCGTTGCCGACAATGCCGACAAAGCTATACCTTTGGAAAAGGTGGGAGGTGGGAGGAGGAAGAGCAGGAGAAAGAGGGAAAGTAAAGGCAAAAGGAAAAAGGCAAGATGGGCAATAATAGAATGTGATGTGAATATGACATTGGTTAATAAGTTTATATAATGTGAAATAGACATTTATTATATATTACTTGTGTATGTACAATGCTTAATGTATGGAAATGTAAACGATGTAACTGAAGAACACTAATATCTATTTCTACCAAAGTACATTAATTTTAATCTTGGTTCAATACTTTTTTTAAATCTTTTTTTAGTCCTAAGAATTTAACTTTTCATCGCTCGAACGGCCGTCGGCCGGTATGTACCTTGAAAGTTTATGGGATCCGACCAAACACTCGCTTCGTAGAGACATCTTTGACACTTGAAATAAAATTCCGTGCGTAATCCGCGATGAGTAAAATTTACGAGCTTCCAATACTTGAATTGACAATCAACTACACGAGTGTGTTCCTTAAATGTTCTATGGATCTCGCTCCACATAAAAGAAAAATTTACAGGGAAACGACCTGTAAGGATATTTCCTTGAGTCTTATCCTTCTTGGCCTCAGATCCTTTTCCATTTTTTCCAGCGTTTAATGTGCCGTCAACTAGATTTTTGGTCTTATTGTTAGAATGTTCAATGCTTTGGTTATGCATATCTTTTTTCACATGGCCCTCTGTTTTTTCTACTGTATTATCTACTGTATTAATGGAAACCAAATCCTTGTTGTTCTCGCAATATTCAATGGTTTCATTACATGCGCCTTCTTCCTTATATTCCTCTGTTTCGATTTTCATCTTATCTACGTTAATAAAAAGAAAATTTTTATTGTCCTCGCAGTATTCAATATTTTCACTGCAAACGCCTTCCTCCGTGTACGATTCCATCTGTCCTTCATTCGTATCCGTTGGTTCTTCCTTTATTCGGTGACAATGTATCATTTCAGTATTGATCTCAGACGTTGTTACATCGGGTGGAAGTTGAACAGACTTTAGAGGATCGGTAGATTCATTATTCTCAGTGTCACGATCGACTTGCATGCGTTGTTCCATCTGTTTCAGCATCCTTCGCCTAGAACCAGAATTAAAATATAAATAAATCTATGAATAATATATAGTTATAATTAAAAAGAAATATGCTATATTTTAGATAGATTAAATGCTGTATGAAATTAAAGCTAAGAGCAACAAGGAATATTTCAAACAGATTTCTAAATACGAGGGTTGAGGAACTTTCCAGGCATCACGTCACGTCAAATGGATTGTGATGCCACCTCATACAAAATTTACCCAACTTATCAAACAACCCTGAACCCTCGTACCTTCTCACCCATCCTTTCTTCCGAAAGAGAGCCTACGCATATGTGGAGGCAGTTTCTTTGCGCTATATTTTGGCATTAAAAAAATTATATACATATATAGACGTAGGAAAAATAATAAAACGTTTATTACGCAAAGAATAGCGTTATTTCTGATTCACCTGTTTAATGTTAAACTTTATAAATTAATAAAAATATTTGTATGATTGTTACAATTAATAATTTTAATAAACTAGACATCACAGACGCGCGCTTCGCGCGCGCTATTTAGCTCTAATATTACACACAACTGTCAAAATATGCTATGACAGCCGATCACGAAGTTAGCGCAGCAACAGAATCAATCAGCATCGCGGAAAAGAGCCAACAAAGCAATTCGAGACTTTCGAGAAGACTTCGAGAGATGCGAGTATCGATTTAACATGCCTTTTTTTAGAAAGGATTACTGTACATATACGTGTGTGTTAACTTTAAATGTAATTGAATGTTCTTTTAGATATATTATTTTAAAAATTATAACATTTTATTTTCTATACATAAAATATGTTTCAGAATTATGAGTAGATTGTAGAAATTACGTTCAAACAAACAAAATAGATTTTAAACAAATGTATTCTATTTACGAATATCATGAAATAAAGATTAAATATAAGTAATATACCGTATGTCTATCTAAAACATATTACACGAACAAATCCTTTTTAGCCTAGCGTTTATTCAGCGCGATAATCTTCTAGCTGAGAGAGATTTTCTTTTAGAGAAAGAAAGAAAGAAAGAAAGAAAGAAAGAAAGAAAGAAAGAAAGAGAGAGAGAGAGAGAGATAGATAGATAGAGAGAGAGAGAGAGAGAGAGAGAGAGAGAGAGAGAGAGAGAGAGA